TTTTTTGTAGGTAGATTTTATCAAAATGTTCTTGTAATTATGGCATATTTCCCATCGTGAGAAAAACTGGTGAGGTTTGCCTCCTCCAATATTATATATATGAAGGAATGCCTGTAAAGATTGTGACACTATTGTTAGGATATCTGACAGATTAGTTGAATAAAGTCCTGAGAATAGCTTTAATTTATCAGATTACAACACACGTTACAGCCTTCAAGGAAAGTTATCTTCATATTCTGCTATAATGCTGATACGTAAAGCCAAGCTAAGCTCCATACCACAATTCTTTACAAATTCTACAGTGTAAACTACAAAGAAACAGTGGGGTTTGACACTCAATGGGTGTCAAATAATTTGAATACAAGCACAGCAGAACCCTCAATTACTGACACTTATTTTATGAATTCTCGATTTTAGGAATGCAAAATCTTGACAACCATGTCCTAAGATATTATTTTATGTATGTTTGTCTTTACAAATTAAATTTTACAAACATATATAACACAGATCTTTTAATTTTTAATGTTTCCCCATCAAAATTAATATATTTATTTGTGAAAGAATTTTTGTCAACATCATATCTTAATGGTGTAATAGAATCACTACCTACTATTCTCCATTACAACATAAAAATGTTCTACAGATGATACGCTTTTGATAGGTCCAGTATTACAAACCAAACCTTTAGTGGCTTTCTAACTGCTTAATATTTTGGCTTACCGGTAGGCACTTTTAGACAAGAGGCAAGAGATCACGCTTGTGCTTCAATTAAAAAATCAATTGATGTTTAAATGTACCATACCTAATCTTTAAACATCTTCTAGCAAGTTGATAAGAGAGCAGCTTAGCTTAGTCGGCTAAACTGGTGGTAGATCCCTTGGTCCCCTGTTCAATTCCCATCGCTGCTCTCCTTGTATTTCAGCTGGAGGGCAGAAATGCAGGTTACGATAGTGCACCGTCATTCGTATGAGATGTTTAAGCCATCGGTCCTGTGTGTATTATGGCCCATGTGCACATTGAGAATGCAGTACACGCTTCGGGAAAGAGTAGTGGATTGTACCCCGGTTTACTGCACAATCACCACCAGAAAGTCCCCACTGGAAATAAGTCTTCTTCAGGCTTTCATGGGTTATCCATGGTGTTAATACAGAATAAATCCATCTTTCCAACTTGTATTAGTATAAATTAGTAATTCTCAGATTTATTTTGATTTTTAAGGTACATATTTAAAATGAAAACTGCATTACTTACTTTATATTTAAATAAATTAAAAAATAATTTCCATTAAAAAATGTAGTGAAGAAATAATGCAGTACATTGCCCCATATAGCATTTTGAAGATGACTAAGAATAATCAGTATCAACAATGTCCCAGACATCTGGTTGGATATTCTATACTGTAGCTAAACGAGTCAGAAATGAGAGCCACTTAACCAAATGGTTTCCAATCTACGAAAGTATGAAGACTGACTTGTGTTAATACAATATAATTTAGTACAATGGATAACACAATTATCTTGAAAGCCTAAAACAGACACATGAACTTTAGTTAATTGCATATAGCATTATTAAAGAGGCACTTAGTGGATAACACACTTATACAACATTGTACTATTTAGTCAATGTTTAAATTCCTATTAGAAAAATATTGACAATTTTAAATGATGAACTGAAAGTAAATACAAAATAATATAAATGGTAAAACATTCACAAAATGTTAGGTGATTAAAAGGACTAGAAATTGAAAAATAAAGATCTACAGTATTTAAAAGGTGAATGTAATATTTCAAGAGAATAATAAACCAAGAAAAGGAGTAAGAAGAAAAACACATAACAGATGTGAAGAGGTTGTGTTTCTTCCAAACACAATCAAGGCTTCTTTCCTGTTGTTGTCAAATTCCTCAATTAATATCTATAAAGCTGTCACTTCTATTTATCATATTGTTACTTAAATTGATTTCTAATTACAGTAGAATTTAAATAAACAAAAACGTTCAAATCTTTTCAAAGCATGCGCAATCAAAGCATATTTTATGAATTAAAGGTTGAAATTAAAACATTAAGCCACATTTTTTATGAATTGGTGTCAAAATTCCCACTGTGAAGAGAGCTATTTAACACCTTTGACAGCTTCCATATGCTCCAAGCCTAGCCCATCAGAGCCAAATCAATTAGATTCTGTACTTGATAACAAACAAATTATTCCACAGGCAAGGCACAGATTTAAAGAAGAACCACATTTGTCATTCATTAAGTTATATTTATGAAATTGTAGGTTCAACCACACACAACAAATGCATGATCAAAATAATAATTTGAAGTATTTCTGATGTAGATTTCCCCTTTTGTTCAAATATGGGGATGGATCGTTCAGTTTTTTTTTCTAAATTATAACATGTTCTTCATTAATTAAAACTGGAGAGTAAGAATCATATCAAAATTAATATAATTACAAACTATATTTTTACTCTATTAGTTGATTTTTAGTACAACATTGAAACGAGAAAAATGGGCTATCAGTTAAAAAAAGTACTTTTAAGCTGTAATATAATATAGATATGAATAAAAATTGTACCTTCAATACAAGTATCAGTACAATACTACCACAAATGATCTAAAAAGTGTTTCATTATAATAAGTACCACACCAAACATAAATTTTTTTGACTAGGCATTGATCTGGAATACTTACTATTAGATATATTTTAGTTTGACAAAAAACTTGGCACTTGGAAAGTAGTTATAATTCTTGCAACAACTCAAATACAACACATCATACTATTTTAACGCTTTAGTAATAAATGCCCTTCTCGAATAAACGGCTTTCTAAAATTAAGTGCCGCACTGAAGCTCAAGACATTTTAAGCGCTGACAGCACTTATTAGGTCGTTTACTGTATGATTGTTATAGTCTAAGATTTTCTATCAATGAGTGATCATAAGATCGGCATGATACAGTACCACCAGTCATTTTTTTAGCTTCAATTTTAAAGGGGCTGACCTAACAGGAAATTTAATAATATCTCAGTATCTAAGACATAAGCCTAGTTTCAGGCCTAGGACTTGAAAGGTTTACAACTGTACCTCCTCAACAATTCACCACATCCAAGTTGGCTATGCTAGAAAACTTTGCAACCATTCTTGGGCGATTATCTTTGTACTTTCATTTTCAGCCTGGAAACTTCTTTTCTTAAACTACAGATTTTATCTTTTAGTCTTTTTAATAAATCCTACCCCTAGGAGTTACTAAAGGAAACGGAATGGTTTATAGCTAAACCAGATAGTTTTTCAAATATCACTTTAGCTTCAAATGAATAGTGCAGCTAATAGATTCAGTGATTGAATTACACAGTAGCTAATTTTATTATGCAATATAATAATGTAATTAAACAATTTTGGGTTAATTTTATTCTCTCTTTAACATATTTCCAAACATTTTCAACTTTCAAACAAAAGGAAATACCTTTACAGGCCTATGTACTTTTAGAATATATTCTTATCTTTATTTGGTCCTTGTTCAGTCAATATTTTGTTCGTATCTCCAATGTAGCAAAGGTATAATTTAACAATAACCTTGAAAAGACTAAGGAATATCATAGCATTGTATTTAATAACCAGGCCACAAAAGATGACCTAACTTTAAGAGTTTTGTTTGACCAGTTCCGAAATTTATTACAATAGAATGACATTGCTATCAACAATTCTGTGGTGACACAATTTTCTCAAATACAGTATATAACATTCATAAAAATTTATAGTAAATCATACTGACATGATATTCAATAAACATCATGATCCAATGCCAAGATGGTTTAATAAATGCTTACATGGGTTTTATTTAAAGATATATTATACATTGGACAAGATAATTTATGAACTTGGCTATAGAACATATTTTATACATGCATGTAGGAATAAGGCTACTGTACAGTACATAGGCCTACTGGAAGATTCTCAATAAAATAAACAAAGTCTTAGATTTTACGTTCCACCTACAATTTTTGTTTACTATAAGTGACTGGAGTTTTTTTGGGGGGTTTTCTCAATGGCAACAATGCTCGGACCTCAAGTACCTATTATAGACACCACCTAGGACCAGCTGTGAGATCTACAGTCGATTTAAGTCCATGGGTAGATTTCATGGATATTTAGAAAATCCCCTTTGCATGTATTGTCTGGTTGGACATGAAAAGTCACCCTTTGATTCTGATTATAAAAGCCAAGTATTTCAAGGGTGTTTAGCAGACAAAAACCACTAAACATTGTGCAGAATTCCAACAAAACAATCACAAATATATATCGTTTAAATCCTCTGGAATTCTATCTACAAAATACTCTACGTTGACAAAGTTTAATCTGGTCTAAAAGATAAAGCATTGTATAAAATGGTAATACAAATGTATACAGCATATTCATAGCTTCATGTGATTGCTCAAGAATATAGTTTTTATATGCTTGAAAATAAAAAGACCTAAAACCAAGGAAATGCCTGAAACTGAAATCACTAGGGCCAACGTCAATCTATTTTCCAGTACTGCAGTATACATTAATGTGCAAAGTCATTATTCACGTATACCGATAGTTGCGATTATAACTAGTCTAAAAACAAATGCTAGCGTTTAAACTCTGATATTATTTTGTAATATAGATTTGTTTCGTAGGCCCAAGTGTTACAACACAGCAACATTTGGCTCAAGTTTTTATGGTTCCTGCAATACCCATCGAATGGCACAATTGCAGTTTCCTATCGGAACTTTGAAATTTCCCAAATCTGGAAGCCTTTATAAATGAGAGGAAACATGAACATATTAAACTCTGCTTTAATCATTTACAGTACTTGCTAGCTTGCAACATCACATGAAAAAATCCTGAATGATTGTTAATAGGATTTCCACATATTAAATCTGTACTAAAAAGTAGTTTAATGTGTCTGAAAAAAAATCTTTTAATTAATAAAAGGTAGAAACATTAATAAATAATTCATTAATATCATGATACTTACAGTCTGTGCATACGTTCCATTTGCGCAAACAAAAGTTCTGGTAAACTTTGCAACTTATTATTATTCAAGCGCCTGAAAAGAAAATTGTATATATTAAGAAAACTTTTAAAATGTAATACGACTAATAATAAAAAATATTAAAGAACCAGTAAAATTAATAACAATATATTTACAAAACACTATGCATGATACTGACTGAACAGGGTACATTGTAAATTAGTAAGATATGACGTCTGCCAAAAAATGTTACAAACCTCAACAATTTAATTAAAATTTTAAGAGCTCATTTAAGGATTAAATAAGTTATTAATTTCTCACTAGAATCAGATTAAATGATTTAGTTTTGCTGTACACACATACATTTTACAACAAAAATCCTTAAATTGAGTAGGCCTACCACCAGTCAATGAAAGAGTCTAGGTAAAAGAATATAGGAAGTATAATATTTACAGTAACTGTCCGTCAATTTACTAAGAAATCTTTTGCCCATTCACAATTTTAATTGTAAGTTAATAAGTTAAATACACAAAATAAGCTATTCAAATATGGAATTGATTTTTTTTATTTTTATTTTTTAGCTTATGACAAACAGTACATCTTTGAGTACCAGTATTTATTCAATTTCTCATTTTGTTTTTTTGGTAATATTTTTTTTATAAATATTTTAAGTATCAAATCCAAACATTATCGTAGTCTTAACATAAATTATTGGATGGGTTGATACTATGGTCATTTCAAACAGTGCTATGCACAATCTGCAACCCAACACGAAAAAAAATCTATTAATATTCTCTGGGGGTTGTAATTGGCTATAATTTTAGAAGATTAATCGATGATATACCTAATTGAATCAAAAGGCTCTGAACTTGCCAGAAATATCAACATTTGTATCAACATAGCTTAAAGCCAATTCCTAATATATATATCACCATTAAGCTGCAATAAGAAGAATTTTTTTTATTTGTTTAATTTGATGTGGAAATAATTGCACCAAAAAATCATTGCTAATGGGCATATAATTAGGGGATGTTTACCTACACCCAAAAAAGAAAATGACACCCTTCATCCGCAAGAGTGGTAACTGCCTGGGGTCATACAATGATACAGTCAAAAAGTATGAAAGCATCCGGACATTTTTTTTGCTGGGGTAAAAAACACAACCCCAAGCAGAATTGCACTCAGCGAGTCTTCCTTACTATAATTCAACATAAACAAAAAATTACTTAGATATGTAGAATACAGTAATAACCAGCATACTGTTTGTTATTTTTTCCATTTGAGACCTCCAAATGTGTCAAAAATTTCAAATAAAAATTCTTTCTTCACTCAATTGTACTTGATTTCAGGTACAGTAACAATTTTAATTATGTTGAAAAGTCAACAAATAATAATAATATAGACAGTTTAGATAAAAATAATAACCAAGAATTCAGAACATAGCAGCTACAGTAATAATATTCTAGATACCTATAGTAGTTTAGACAAATCTATTAATAATCAATGAGTTACATATATTGTAGCTAATATTCTTTTAATGTGGATTTATAAAACATTTTGCAAAAAGCTTCCGTAGTCCAAATTGCTGACCAAGTAATCGTAAAATATGCATACATTTTAATGTTTAAATTCAAGTTTACACTTTTAACCGCCAAATATTCTTGACTTGTAATCTACATTTCTTTTCTCTTTTCTTTTTAAAAATTCAGTTCAGATGCTAACATAATTGACAGAAACCTGTCACTATGGTAATTGAATTGAACCTGTCATAAATAAGAAATCTTTACAACTGTTTCCAACTGTAAATGTAAAGGTAAATTAAATTAAATATCACTTTATTGTACTCACACCAATGTCTTTAAAATTTATTGTCTGTATTGAATATTGTTTTTATAGCAACTGTTAATATTTTGATAAATAAATATTTTGACAGTAAAACTGTTGATTATCATGCCAGATGTACAGAAAAGACAAGAGCAGTTTGTTGTCCTTCCAAAAGATTCTTATAAATATGGATTATGTTTCATAACAGCGATTTTGATGCTACATCAAATCTATGCATTGTACTTACATCCTCGACCTTGAGAGGTGTCGTTAACATTGGAATTTTATTGTCCAATAAACTTTTTCTTAAATTAAATCTTTACATGTGCAGCCGGCAAATCTAAACAAACAGACTCTTCTAATGAGAAATTAACACTATTTTGTAGCAAGTGTTGCAATGCAACAAGGCATGGATTTCTACCTATTGAGCATTTAATTTTGCGAGTACTCAACCGTGATGCGATCGTGTCAGAAACCTTATCAAATGGAGAAAAAGACTTTGTAAGCTCATTCGTGTCCAACAGACAACGGACGTGTTTTTCACTCTTTCACTTTCCATATTCTAATCTTTCTTTTTGTGATTGCATTCTCAAAAATGCAACAATTTTTAATTTCTACTAAAAACATGTATCTTACTCTTAATTACTCATATAATGTATAACCAACAAGAATAATAACTGAAGTGTTCAATTACGTTTGTTATTCATGAATTTCAGAAAAGCTACATGGAATTGATGTAATTTAACATATATTTCTGGTCCTACTACACCGTTATCTTCTGACTAAAAGACAGTGTTATCAGTGTTATCAACTATTACTATTTTACTTAAATACACGCTGCTGTTTTGATGTGATGTATCTGTGATTTCCTGTTTTTATTCATAATTAATAACTCAGTTTTGTAATTCAGATTTATTTCTGCAAGATATCTGTTTTATGTACAATTTTAATAAAGATAATTTGAATATAGAAAGACAAGGCATATATAAAATTCTTTATTCTACTTAGTGGCCATGGCTTGATGGACAAAAACGACAAAACATATCTTTTCCTTTTAAAAGAAATTGAAATAAAAACATCACTCAAAGTAGAAAATCTTTCATATTTCAATTATTTGAAGTAGTATGCAAATGCTAATAATTTTTTTAGGTATTACTGTATAATTTAATATTCATAATAAAAAGCCAATGGAGCTTTAAATATGCAATCTAATTACATGATTTGCATAATCAAATGTTGGCCTACATATGTACTAATCAATTTCCCATAAGGCTGCTGCATAACATACATACGAATAAAGTCAAAACAAATTTAATTTAAACTTTGCTTGGAAAATAATTCATTTAAGTTTTATACCTAAAGAAACAAATTGATGGTTTAAAATCTACTGATAGATGATTTTTAATACATTTAAACTAATTAAATTATATAACCAAATATCTTTTTATACATAAAGTTAATAAAAAATATAAATAAATTATATGTATTTTTTTATATGTTTTACCATATTTAGGGCTTACTTTAAACATTACAAAAATGTCATTTTCTATTCAACCAAATCGCCACATTTTAAAGTTATACTTTGCACTGTAACATACATTCTTGTGTATCCGTGACAATGGCACATTTTTCTTTCCACCAATGCTCTCCAAGAGAGCGTCCAACTCTACGACTACTAGTCCACACTGCAGGTTTTTAATTACTTGTCAGTGTGCACCAGATTTCAGGAGAGGCTTGTTTGATAGAACTCAATCTCTTAATTGCCTCAACTCATAAGCAGTTCGAACTGATTACATTAGGCCATGGAACTTTACACTCGACTTCGAATGAACTCTATTCAAAGACTATCCAATAAATGTATTCTCGCAGCTAACTGTCTCTTGAACACTCCATGCAGTATAATAGTTTTTTTTTTTAATCCTGTACCCAATCTTGCCAGGGTAAAACTACCATACCATACAAAATATGAATATATCAAAGTTTTTAAGTACAGTGCCCCCTACAATTCAAGATCTAAATCTCAGACCCTTCAAGATCACTTTTTTAAAGAACCAAATAACCCTCTAATTGCAGTCAAAACCCCAAGAAAACTATGTTTTCTGGTCCCAAAAGGTGGTCTTGTGTTGGCAAAGAGAGTAAAAAACGATAGAAATATATACAAGGCATTACTGTATTCCAATTGAGGCAACATAAACATTATGCAATGGAATTTCTAAATTACTTCTATCTGTCCCTCTTACAGTACATGACTCATATGATGTCTTTTAAATTGATTTTTCTCTTTAAATGCAAAACAGATAACATGAATTACTGTTAAGAAACATGTTATATATTAAAATGCAATGAACATTTTTCTTTGCAAAAAGCAGGCAAAAAACTTCTACTAGAAAACTGATTAATTGTATGTTGCATTTGAGTAAATTAGACATTTTTGGCAATAGACCTAGATATAAGTTACATATTTTCTCTTTTTTGCTTCGTTGATTACTTCAAGACTGAAAATATAGTGAGCTTGCATTTTTTGGTCTTTGGGCTGTGGTCCACTTGGGAGATTGGGAAACGACAGTCGTAAATATACCAGGGGTATGAGGCCTCCTTGAGACACTTCCAGCCCATCTTTGTGGCCCAGCCAGCCTCTTAAATGGATCACAAAAACAAACTTGTTCTACGACAATTAGGCCTACTGAAGTATATGAACAAAAGATAAGCAAAGCAAACATAATATTTACCTAATAATTATTATTGCATTAAATTCCCAAATTACGCTTCACAAGGTAAATTACCCACCTGAACTGCTTACATCTTCATTAAGAACATAAAAAGGTTTCAATTTTCAGGGGAATGAGATGCGCCCTCTATAACGTTCGTTTTTATTCTAAAATACTGAACAAATATTACTTTAATTTCAATGGATTATCATTTTGTGTCATAATTGGTTATATATTAATAATTATTAATTGAATCACACTGAAGGTAGTACTTTAATTAGAAACTCTTATGTTAGAAAATAGAGAAGAATTGCATGGCCATGCAAATCAGGTCTCTCGAAAGATGATGGACTTCCAAAAGGAATCAAGTCAAACCAAGGACTTTTTGGTTGTGTAATGATACTGCAAATAAATTTCTTTCAGTAAAGTTGCAATTTTAATCTTCTGAAACCTATAGCTCCAGCAGTATACGTTCAGATATCCTGTAATTGCTGCTATTAATAATGCTCCACGGATTCAATACTCCAAGGGAAATTATATTTATTGAGACCATTGTTGTATATTTGGGTTTACAATTAACTTGTTAATTGACTAGATTTACCGCAAATTGTTATGGCCTGTAGCATAGGGAAAATAAATAACCAATTTATCAGATTCCGAACGCTTCTCTGGCACCAAAGAATGTTCATCTTAGTTTGGTTGTGAGATGATATTAAGAGACTCGGGTTAGAAACAAGACTTCTAACGACCATATTTGATCAAAGCCGCCCGAAATAACTGTCCCTTTGAGATTACCGCGAATGAATTACTTGGGGGATAAAAAGAAAAATAAATTGTTTTCATTCCGATTTAACACTTGTTTTAACATTTTCTGCCGATTCGCTGGGCAGAGTCCGTAGCCCGTTGATTCTCAATCTCAACATCTTCCATGAGTCAGGGTTAGACAAGGACTTACGGTTTACTATCATTAATGCTATGTTAATGAAGCAGTAATCCACTCAAATACTTACATTCTTTCGACCGAGACAAGGTCAGAAAATGCGCCTCTTTCAATACTAACAAGTTGATTATGCATCACCTGTCTGTTGGGGATACAATTAAAAGAAAAACAAACGAAAGAGGATTAGAAGGTAAACAAATAATTAACTAATCATCGTCATTTATGATAGACGTCTTCAGAGCAGACGCAATTTACAAGGTTCGGCGACGTCGCGATTCTACGACAGCCCATACATGACGAGAGATCGTTATTCTCACTATTTAACTGTATTCGAAAAAAAGATTAAATGGCGACAGTTACAAACTTACGGATAGGTTAATCAAAGAAGATATACTTACAAGAATCTGAGATTCCTCAAGTCCGCAAAATCCCCCTTGAGTATTTTCGTTATGTTGTTCCCCGAGAGATCTCTGTGGATAAAGATCAAAATAGCTGAAGAGTTAGACACGAAGTCTCCAAAAGAGAGATTCCGCTAATACACGTTATTCCAATTATCCGGCTCATTCACACTTCTGAGCTACATTTTGCTAGTAGTAGGGGTAATCGTAAATCTACAACATTCAGTGAAGCCGTTTCAATTTTGTCCTCCCAGGTCTCCACCTTTACATGACCTAATAACACACTCCAAAAAGAACATAAAATCAAATCCAGGGCTTTAGGCTATACAAAAATTCAAAACACTATTAATATTATTTTGAATGATGTAAAAACAATCTCGCATGTAATTTATGTACGGCAGTAGTTACATTCGTTTATTTGTTCCAGACAAATAGAAATATGCATGTAAAACGTAAGCAATACCAATTTCGAAACCCAATACAATGAATAATATATTAAGAGTATACGTCGTATGATATTAATTTTTTTAATTTAAAAACAAAACAAGTAGTTTAATGTTTAATTTGTAATTATTTTGGTTGAAGATTGCAAAGATTTATTACGTAACAACATGTAAAATATACTTACGCTCTTACATGTAAGGAGTGAAAGCTAAGTTTAAATTTATGTAACGATTTCTGTGCTTTTTCTGTGCATAAAATGGAACATTATGAAGATAGGCTTCATTCTTCTTTCTATACAAAAATAATTAGCATACGGTCCAGCCACGTTAAAATTCATTACAAAAAACCAGGTAAGGGTGTTTTAATTAAAGGTTGAAGACAATAATTTTACATGTCTTCACGCTTTGTATAATTCATTATCAGTTTTTTCCATGTTTTTAAATATAAAATATAATAGCCTTGTAAAGGTATAAGAATGAATATTTAATCTTTTATGTTAATATACAGTAGTTACTAGTATTTTAGTATGCACCTGTATCCTACTTAAAGTTTCGTTAACTCAGTATACATCGATTATATTTTTACAACAAATATTAGCATATAATTACATTTAACTTAACTACGTAAAAGAAAGATGTAGTAAACAGTGTTAGAGTAGTGAATTCTGCAATATAGTTCTTGATGTTTGTAGGCATGTATGCAAACGTCTTGTTCACTTACAATTTCTCTGTGTTTATTGGTATTCCACGGGGGACGCGCGTGTGTCCAGAATTACTACAATCAACGTTTGATCCGCCACACACGCACCGCTCAGGACAGCGACCAGCAGTCGCTCCAACAAAATATAAAACCAGTATAAAAATAATCCTCAGAGATCTTGTGTTCCTAACATCCATCTTGAATAATGAAAAGTAAATCCAAAAAGTAGAAAAAAAAATAATTCCAATGGTGTGAACGCGATTAAGCGCGCAACATAAAAATTGTCGATTGAATAGGGCAACTCCTCAAAATCGGCAAATTCCCAGATCACACGTTCGCGACCAACCCCACTTACAAAAGCAAATCACAAAACGGGTATGTTTTGCCCAAATAATCGCACTTTATTTATATGTCTTCCCTCATAAACTGTTTGTTTTCCAGTGGTGCATCACAGTGGGGAAGCGTATAATTCCTAAGGTGTAAAGTCCGCATAAACTTACAATTGCTCCACTAATTAGTCTGTTTCTTAGAATGGTATCCTTCGCTCACCTATTAACGAATACAAAAACAGACTGTGCGTGGATACTTATGCCGCTAACTTGCACGCACGTACTTCTGTGATCTCATCTATTCCTTTAATAAACCCTGTATGTATAATAACAACTAGCGGCGTCCGTTCTTGGCAGCCTTCGGCATGACGTCACTAATACGGGAGGTGGGACTGATATTTGAGCGGAACAAAGAAGCAGGCGTAGCTTACGAAAGACCTAACTTAAGTGACAGTCCGCTTTCACGATTGACAGTTCGCTGGAGTCCAGTAAGAATGGAACAGTCCATACATTCAACAGCCCAGATACAGTTTAGTTAATAGGTATTTATTATATTATTCATCAATCGGTACTAAATATACATAAAATGTGTTTATCAGTTTTACTTTTAAACACGAAATTATTGGTTACTGTTATTTGTGAGGAATATACATACACTGAGAAAGTACGCATCACACAAAAGTTACCCCTTTGATTATAAATCGACGAATCTACTACAGACCTACGGTTTACTGTAGTAGACTTTAGAGCAGGTGATGAAATACCAAGGACATCTAAATGTAAAAAAAACGGTCCACCATGTATACAGAATAAGTTAAAAGTTAAACGTGTAAGAATCGTCATTCTATTGTCAAAAATATACATTACATACTATGTATTAATTAGAAAACAAGAACAACAAATGTATATAAATAAAACAAATGAAGAACAGCAATGTATATAGTAAAGTGTTTTAGTTCGCGTCACCTAAAGAAATGAAAACATTGAGTTTATTCTTTCTCTATGGTTTATTTGGTTCTATAGTATAACCAAACAGTTATGCGCAATTAGAAAACCATAATAAAAAGTGTATAGAAAGGCCGTTAGCCCAGAGGAAACCAGTTTGTAAAACAGACAGGTAGAAAACATCTGTACTGAACATATTTGTTCACACAATATTAGAAAAAAAAGTACGCACAGTTTAGTACTTAAAATAAACGATAATAAAGTGCATTGGCAATCTCTTACTATTAAATAGCATAGAGTGAATCAGAATTTAGACCACAATAAATGTATCTTTCTAATTAAACTTACTTCAGATTATTTTTTTTAGTTATTTGTTTTTTCTATTGTGAGTTTTAACGCTATGACCACAACCCTGGGGTTTGTCCTCTCGAGGTAGAGGTAGCACATGCAGCGCTGGGGCAACGATGAACCTCAGCATAAAGTATGCTTTGTCTAGTCTCGAGGGACTGAGCCTTAGTTGAGTAAAACGATAGAGTCAACGTTGAAGACATGTGTAATGATCTATAAAGAAAGCCTAGGAAGGAAGTACAAAGCTTACACAGAAACGTTGGCATCAAATCAATGGGGAGATTTTTCCCGAGGGATAGACGTTACAACAGGTTGTACAGTCGACTGGTGGTCGCCTATATTCAATACATTATTTCAACATGATTTCTTAACTTTTTAGATTGATTGACTGCCGTGGTTTTGAATGACGTATAACTTCATTATATTTAATCCGTGATGGACATCTTTAAGTAAACTGGGGGAGGGGGTTTCGCACATAATTTATTTATAAACTTTCACAACGTGCCGGTCTATAATTATAATTTGGATACATTTTCTCATAGGCCTTATGTGGTAGCCTATGTTTGAAAAGACATGTTTTAAATAGAAGCATGTTTAACGGGTTTTTAAAATTTTATTATATTAACAAAATGTGATACAGATATTTGGATAGTTTACGTTTTGACTGTGAACATAGGCCTACATATATAGGCATGTTTCGTTTCAGAACAGTTAAGGCGAACTTGATCGATCCTATGGTACATTACGTAGTGAACTAATTTGATGCACTTCGTAGACATTTGGACGTTGTATTATAATTATAAGTTTCAATATTTAGGCCACAGGTAAAGCTATGCTGACCATGCAATTAATCTTTTGGAGTGACAATCGAACTTATCAACTGACAAATTAGAACAGGATCATGAATTCGCGCTTCAACTTATAGTAACAATGTCCTAGGGGAGGAACTTAGCGAAACGGTCCATTATCCATGTGACTGAACATCGGGATATGCTTCAAAATTTCCCTAAAATATCGCTTCCGGAAATTATGAAAAATGGAATATCAAAATTGATTAAAATGATCGTCTTCTCAAGAACCATAAACGATACCTATACAAATGTTGGCCATTAATCCATTGAGTGGCCTTATTTATTTAGTACAGCTCTGCGTCTCATGAGGCATCAAGTTATTGATGGGTTTTTTTTCTTATACAGTAGCTGTGGTTTTCTAAATTGAGGGTAGGCCTATAATAAAAGCAATTTCGCATTGCAGACATGCAATGGAACTTTAGAACGCGCCGATGGGTGAGACCAACCGTCTTCGAGGCGGTATGACAGCACTGGCGATCAGTGCCTCGAGCCTTTCGTGTCACAGACGATAACCGGATAGGCCTATTATTGATCGATATTTTATGTGTCAGGGCATGCGGAAAAAAAGTTAACTTATTCGTATAAATGTCGTATTCTTGGCATTATTAGGCTGTTCCAAGAAAATGAACCAAGTGTCTCCACAATCCTTAGGTCTAATTAATAATGACAGTTAAGTTCTTCGAGTTTCTAAGAACAATTCTCATATTAATTGAGTAGTCTATTAGACCAGTGATATTCGGTAACAGATAGTCAATAATTTTTTTAAAATGTTATGGCGGCTGTA